AGTTCTGCCTTATAAATTTGGCTAGACCAGAGGATGTACACTGGAACAGATAGGAACTGAAAACACAGGGAATCCAGGACAGTTGATCCCTTCAGGACCAGTGCTGAGAGTGGCGATACCAGGAGGATAAAGGGAGAGTGGGGTGGAAAGGGGGAACCAATTACAGAGATCTACATATAAACCTCCTCCCTGGGGGATGGACAACAGAAAAGTGTGTGAAGGGAGATGTCAGACAGTGTAAGATATGACAAAATAATAATTTATAAATTATCAAGGGTTCATGAGGGAGTGGGAAACAGGGAGGGGGGTGGGGAAATGAAGAGCTGATGCCAGGGGCTTACGTGGAGAGCAAATGTTTTGAGAATGATGAGGGTAACGAATGTACAAATGTGCTTTACACAATTGATGTATATATGGATTGTGATAAGAGATGTATGAGCCCCCAATAAAATGATTTTTAAAATATAAATAAATGAAAACAAAAACAACCTTTGGTTCTTCTACAGAGTTACAAATTATGTATATCCAGGTTTAAGCTATGGAGGGCAGGGAACTATAAACCCTAAAACATGCGCATTCTAAGCCTTTTATAAGTGCGTGCTCTGTAATCCCCTCTGGCACACAGGATGACACACTAGTTTACAAGGCACTGATTTTGATACCTGGAGACGGAGGCTTGTTCTTTCCTTTGTTATTAGACACTCCCCACCCCAGGATTCTCCGGTATTATTCCCTCGAGCTTTAAGGAGAGAGGAAAATGCAGGAAGAAAGGAGGAAAATGTAATTGCTTTTCTTACCTTTAAGATGAATGAATTTCTCTTATTCTTCAAATGAAATCTAAATAGAATGTGAATATAGGAGCTAGATTAAAAAGTAGAGCTCTTTCAGTAGGGATATGTATAGGAAATCCATTGAATACAGTCTTAAAATGATGATGATGATAAATTAAACCCATTAGCATCCAGTTGATTCTAATATATAGTATTATATAGTACAAATAGTATATATATAGTACAAATATATAGTAACCCTATAGGACAGAGGGTTTCTGAGGCTGTATACTCTTTACACTATTTATCTATCTATCTATCTATCTATCTATCTATCTATCTATCTATCTATCTATCTATCTATCTGTGATTGTGCCATTGGGAGGCTGTAAAGCTTTATGAAAGTGATAGGTTTGAGATGATTTTCCCCAGTTCTTGCTTCTCTATACTGAACAAATTCATGCGGCAGAAGCACTGCTTTAAGTCCAAGTAACCTTTATGAGTGAAAGGAAGCTTTGATAGTATACTCAACATAGCCTATTGCAACACAGCTTACAGGTCTTTCTCCTTTACTCCTGTTCCTACGGGGTTTAGTGCACTAAAAAGAGGATGGCGGGGAAAAGGTAAAATTAGTTTATTATTACTAAGTATAAAACTCCTATGATGGAGTTTCTATCCAGGAGGTAGCCAATTGCCTATGATGTCTGTAGTAATCATTTCTTTTAGAAGACTTAGTGCCAGACCACTCCCAAGGAGGTGGAAATTATGGATGTCCCAAATATCCATTCTTTCCAAAATGTTATACGGCCCATTTTCCTGGATGTTATCCACCACACTTCTCCTAGTTCTGCAATCCGCTTCTACATCTCACAGGGCTCCTGATGCGTTAAGGAAATGCCTCATGTACTTACGGGTGCTGTTACGTCCCATATCCAACATTTAGCCATCTGTCTTGGGTATCCTGTTCATCCATAACACTGGGGAAGCCGGGGAAGCCATGTTAAGTTATAGGTCGTAACTCAAGTCCCAGGGAGCAGAGGTCAAGCCAAATACAAGGTCCAGAGCCAGAGAAGTCAAACTTCTCTGAAGGTCAAAGTAGATCTTCTCACTTCTACCTGCCCTCGGTCAGAAACTTGAGGTCACAAAGGCAAGGCTTTGATGGAGGTGTGGAGGTGGTAACTTGGTTCAGATCCTCCAAGAATGAGGAGACTCAGAAAACATCCCACAGTAATCTTGTCCTTAACATAACACAGAATGCCCTTCAAAATGGGATTATAACTAAAGGCATAGAGGCTAGAATTGATAATTCATTGCATAAGGAAGTATGGCTAGAAAGGCCGTGACTGCATGTCCATGGATAGGTTGTATCTTCAGCTGTACTGTGTGCTCTGTTAAGGTTCAACATTCAGAGAACCCTACTGGCGGGTTACTTGTTAAAGGAGGCATGCTAAATATCCTTCCTGCCTTTTTACTCACAGTGATGTGTGAGGAAGTGGGAATGGACGTGTAGGAGATTCGGGAGAAACCAAAATACCAAACCCAGTTGCACTGAGTTGATTCTAACAATGGTGACCTTAAACAGGGTTTCTAGGGGTGTGCATCTCTACAGGAACAACCGATTGGAACCGCCAACCTTATGGTTATGGCCCAGCACCTATGCCAATGAAAAACAGTTAAATTATTCATTTATTATACTTGTCAAGAAAAGATTACTGCATTTTAAAATGATCAAGGTTTTGTGTTTTATATATATAAATAATTTTAAATTATGTGTGAAACACTTTCATGATTATTTACTGATTAGATCCCTGAGTCCTGTAAACAGTTTCTACTCAACTACTAACTTAAAGGTTGGTTGTACAAATTCATCTTGTTGCACTGCAGAAAAACTTGTCAAAACACAAACCAAGAAAGCCAAATGCAACAGTTTTTCTCTGTAAAACATGGAGTCATCCTGTTAGCATCTGCTCAACTGCAAGGATTATTGTTCTTTTTTTTTAATTGAGTTATTAGATGAATTGCTTAATTTCTAAAAATAACATTTTATTGTAAATTCGGAGTTTACATTTCAGATTATCAATTTTGTATTAAATAGTTTAAATTACTAATCAAACTCTCCAAGACTTTATTCCTTAGCTAATCCTTGATTTCTTTTATGCCTCTTGTGAGCTACTATTTTCCATTTCCCCCACCCTCTTTGCCCTCTGCCCTTTGGAAATCCCCAAAATCTGTTCCCTTTAGGATGAAAGTCTTTATCTTATTTAGTTTATTAAAAGAAACTTTTAGTAAAAAATATTGCATCCATACCAGTTTTTAAAATTAAGATAAATGTATGCTGAATTCCATGATCAATTTGAAAGCCATGATCGATCTTAACAGAGAATATGATACTATATGCTATGGTACATGCTAGTTCTTAGTATCTTGCAATTTAGATAACTGGACACAGATTTCCTGAAAATCAATACCTAGTCATAATTTTGGTCAATATATTTGGATATTGAATTAAAGATATTGATTAGTGAGATCCATGTATAATGTAAATTCTCATTCAGGAAAGTTTTTCTAATTAATTGGGATCAATACATTATCAAATCCATCCATAGTACAGTCACATCCAGCAGAATTGTGCATTTGCTACCACAGTTTTCAAACATTCTTTTTCTCTGCGGACCCCTTAACATCATCTCCCCTTCACCTGCCACACCCTCTGGTCCACTTCCCCTAACACCCTTATTTCATGTGCTGACTCTATAGGTGTATCGGTCCTGGTTTTTATATCCCCCAAAACATGCTGCAACTTCAAGAGGGTGACCCCCAATGACATAACACTTCCAAGATACCCCATATATATATATAATCAAAAACCAATCAAAACAACTCCAAAATACTGTATATACTCGAGTTTAAGCTGAATATCAGCCGAGAGACCTAATTGTACCATCAAAACTGCATTAAAAAATGTGTTGAAAAACTTGGCTTATACCTGAGTATATACAGTACATAAGATTTTGGAAACCAGATCAGGTCTAGCATGCATCCTAGGGGGAATCTGCTGACAAGTTTTAACTGTTTAAGCCAGGCTTCTGCCTTTGACCTTCTAAACTTCACTCACTAATGCACTTCATTTAGTGACCGCTTCCCTCCTATCCTTCAATTGTGACTAGCGGGAGTTCACCAGAGTTTATTTCCTATATAGTTCCACCAATGAATCTTGGGCTCCCACTGTCATTCCTAGTTTTTTGCCGACCAGATTCCCAGACTTTAGGCTCTGATACTAATGCCTTCAACTTCGGATTATATGCTTCACAGTCCTTCAGTAACTGATGATGGTGTGCTTCTTCCATGTGGACTTAGTTGACATCTCACTTAGATGGCTGCTTGTTCGGAGACAAGCCTGTAAGACCCCAGACACTTTTATCTGAGAGCCAGGCACCATCTAATTTCTTCACCACACTTTGCTATAACACCCATCTCCCCCGCGTTTCCTTCCTGGAGGCGAGTATCAAGCTGGGCCATGATGTAAGAACTAATTGTTCTTGAGTTGGAGCTGGCATTTGGTGTGAACCCAAACCACTCCTGGACCTATGTCTGTTTTGTCTTTCAGTTTCTTCTTGTCATGTCATTGCATTGTTCAGTCTTGTCAATTGCTTGTACCATTGCTTCCATAATCAGTTCCCCAGATCCTATTTCTCCCTTTCATTGTCTCCCCAGCACCACCACCCACACACTCCCTCTCCGACCCCCTTGTTCTACTTGCTAGCTTTACAGTTCATCAATCGTCAGTTTCGTTTACTGAAAGACAGAAACACTCATTTCGCAATTTCAAATATTTTTAGTGTCCTTTACTTTTATGAAAAATATTAACAAGCATTTATTTTTATTCTAATTCATTCCCAGTAGCTATTCTAATTAACAAAGAACTATTCATCATGCGTGTTTGATGGACAAAAGAGTCATAGATCTGGATTTTATATTTGGCTTACTGCCCACTAGCCTTGTGATCTTGTGTTATTGCTCTTTGCCCAGCCTTGGTGTGTTCATTTCTGTATAACAACAGACAAGTTCCTTTCAGTTCTCATGTTCTATAAAATACAATGAAACCAAATGATCAAAATAACTTATCAGCTGTTCTCTTGCAGGGTTTAGCTTTCATTAATGTTTTATTTCTGTTTTTAGCTTGTAGAACTCTTTAACAGAATGTTTTGTTTTCTTCCTTTCTGTTCATAGAAATTATGACCCACTCAAAACACAACCCAAGAAATATGCCAAATCCAAGTATGAATTTACAGCAAGGAACAACAGTGAGCTCTCGGTTCAAAAGGATGATATTTTAGAGGTAATGGAATTTGACTTTAAAAACATGCTTCTTATAAAATGGATTTATTGTATTGCTCTTTTGGTTTATTTATAAATATTCCTCAAAGAAATTCAAAAGCCAAGGAATTATTGTTCATTTAAAAAATATTACCAGGGATAAATTATACTATACATGCTTATATCTACTGTGTTAGTCTGGGTAGACTAGAGAAATAAATCCATGGACACACATATGTGTATAAGAAAGAGTTTTATATACAAGAGGAATTTAACATTGAGAAAGCATTCCAACTCAGTTCAGTCCAAGTCTATAAGTCTGATATTAGCCCATATGTCTGATACCAATCTATAAAGTCCTCTTCAGACTCACGAAACACATACAATGATGCCAAATGCAGGACGATCACAAGCCAGTGGGTAGAAAGTCTTTGGATCCAGTGGCATTGTAAGTATCTCAGCGCTGGCAAGGATCTCTACGTGGCTTCTCCAGTTTCAGAAGTCTGGTTGCATCAGGGTAGGTCCATGTGGCTTCTCCAACTTAGAGCACTAGCGTAGTTCCATGTGTCTTGTCAGCTGCAATGTCTCCAAGGGAGTGGCAGAGAGAGAAGTGTCCCCCTCTTCCAAGGAGGAAGTGCTGGAAATTCCCAGAATCCTTAGGGGAAGGCTATGCCCACACAGAAGCCTTATTGGCTATGACCTGCTTGACAGGCTAGACTCCATCCCTACACGCTTAATCCTTAAATTGACAATTACATAACTTCCACGTCTACCTAGGAGGAAGAGTTGCTTCATCTGTTTTGTTTTGTTTTCATTTTGATTTGATATTCAGTAAAGGTCCATATGCCTTATGTGCACTCTTCCTTCTTGTGGACTTCATTCATCTTGGACTTATGATCAGCCATCACTTCAGATGTAAATGTACCGTATTTTTTTTAAAAGAATAACATTACCTTTTGTCTGCCCTTGTACCATTGCTTAAATGTTTTCAGCACCAGTGAACTAATAGTTTTTGGAAGAGTCTGCCCTGGTTCCCAAAACCCTTTCATAAATTACGATAGATCATTTTTTTAAATATGTAAGGTGGAATGATCAGCATAGTTTGGTAAACATTGTTTTTATACGTTTCCTTCTCAAAATACAGAAGATAAAACTTTCTCAAAGAGTGATGGTAATCATTTCTAAGATCTTCAGGTACTGTAAATAGCTCTACGTTCTTGGGAGGTAATATGGGCTTTGAGTAGGTTCATCATAGTGATATCATCCCTCTTCTGTGCCTAGCGATTCTAATTCCTAATGCAGTTCCTGAGAGGCATTCATTTTAGAGTGTGTTGATATGAAATCAGATATTTTGGATGTGAGAAAACACTGATGTCTGGGAATAAGAATTGAACTTCCAACATAGTTGATTTGGGTACTGAAGGAATACCTACATGTTCTTCCACAATGGCAGGTCCTTGATGACAGGAAGCAGTGGTGGAAAGTTCGAAATGCAAGGGGAGATTGTGGATTTGTGCCAAATAACATTTTGGATATCGGGAAACCTCCAGAGTCTGGACTAGGGCGTGCTGATCCACCTTACACACATACTATACAGGTAATCTCGATTTCTTACCAAGATGGAACTTTTCTAAACATTCAAATGTATCGCTCTTTAACAGAATTTAAATGTCGTTTGAGTGTTATTCATGTTAAGACTGATTGTAAAACTTTTAAGTAATTGGAACCAGTGGTGTGAGATGTAGGGAAGAATTACACATATACTTCTGATGTATTTTTCCCCATAATTGCTCAAAACATTCAACCGTAGTGTGCTACATTGAGTTCTTTTTCAACCTACAGTGTTGCTGATTCTTGAGGAAGCAGTGTTTCTGTTCCTTCCCTCCTACGCATAGCCCTTCTAACCTCCAATGGCTTCCTTTTGATAGAGGAATTGAACTCATGGGCACTGAGACTCCAGATGCACTAACCCTTGCCCTTGGGGCCTCTTAGCTGTTCTGTCACTGCTCAGCATTGGGTGTTTCCAGTTCATCTTACACACTTGCTTGTTCCGTTGGCTTATAATACTCGTTCCTTCCTTGGCCGTAAAGTTCAGACCTACTCTTGACATAGATTAGGGAGGTCAGGATCTCCTGATTATTGAATAGCTCTTGATCCTTGTGTCACATTTTCATAATTTCCCTGAAACTAATCAGCTCATTCACCATAACATCTGAATTCACTTACGACTTAAACTCGTGGACTTTTGGACCTGTGACAGGGTTGCTGAGAGAGTCAGCTCCACTAACAGAGACAGAATGGATGGAATCTCCCATGTATGTGTAGACTCCGAGCTCGGGAGGTGACTTTGTTTTAGTTTTTTTCAGGTTGCCAACGAACTCATTCGTTTTTAGAGTCTTGAGGGAAAGATCACACCTGAGCCCATAATACTTGCATGAACTGGAGTAGAAGCTACATAGAACATGAGATAAGATCATTTCATTGGCAGTTCTAGGTCTAATAAAATACAGACTGTTAAAAAAGAAATGCAGCCGAGCCCCTTCTGCCAGGACCATGCATTTAAATAGTTCTGGATCCTCACGGCATTCCAGCCTGCTCTAGGCATACTTGTTTTATCACGCTTAGCTTTGTTATCCTTCACAGACATTGCTTTTTGTTTTTTTAACCACTGAAAGTGTGTGGCAACCGTGCAACAAGCGATAGTTTTGGAGCCTTTTTTCCAACAACATGTGCTCACTTAGTGTCTCAGTTTTATAATTCTGCAACATTTCAAACTTTTTCATTGCTAGGTTAGCTGCTTTGGTGAGCTGTGATCAGTGATCTATCAATGTTACCCTTGTATTTGTTTTGGGGGCCACACATCTCACTGATGTAAGACTACAAACATAATAGATAAATGTGTGTTTTGCAGCTGCCAACTGGTCAACTGGTCTGTCAGTCTTTCTCTCTCTCTATCTCTCTCTGAACCTCCTGTTTTCTAAGACACAACAATATTGAAATTAGGTCAGTTAATAACCATACAGTGCCTTCTAAATGCTCATGTGAAAGAAAACTTCAATCAACACAGAGCACTTTGCTGTGGTCTTATTTCGCAAAATTGCCACAGCCTCCAGCCTTCGTAACCAGCGTCCCAGTCAGCAGCCAACAACTTTTTGGCCAGACCCTCCACCAGCAAGAGATGTCTGACAAGACTTAGATGACGGTTAGCATTTTTTAGAAAAGATATTTTTAAAATTAAGACATATACAATTAAAAGACACAATGCCAGTACACACTTAATAGACTACAGTATGGAATAAACATACCTTTTATATGTCCTTGGAAAGCCTGAGAAATGCTGTTAACTCACTTTATTGCGACATTCCATCTGGAACTAAAGCAGCCGTATCGCTGAGGTATGCCTGCATAGGTCCCGTACTTACCAAGGCTGAAGCAAACATTTAAAATGAAAAATTAGTGTACGGTCGGTAAGCCTTGATAACTTAATGCATTGGCAATGACAACTCTGTTGTACTTAAGTTTGAGCTGATCACATGTTCATCTATATTATGTATGTATTTTATGTTCCATCCTTTGTCATTAGCTGTTGATGCCAAAAAAGGAGTTTGAGTTGTTCAAGGTATGGCCCACTCCACTTCTCATGAATTTTTGAAGTGAATTTCTCATTTTGTTTTTATACCTTCCCTTTTCTTTCCTACGTTCCTACCTTTCTGATTGTAGCATCATGAGAACTGGCCTAATTCAGCCTGCTGCCTGGGTTTTCACTGTCTTCAGGTGCTTTCCTACATAAGGGATTTTGACCGTGAGCCTTTAACGCAGGAGCAAGGATGTGTGCTTGAAATGTATTTATGAAACAGTAAGAGGCACATCGATTGTAATTGTCTTTAGTATTTTAAGTCTTTAACTCACGGTAAGCTTTCAGAGCTACCATTCATAAAGAATATCCTTAGGGGCCTCGTGTGAGCAGAGGGCAGCCCCTTGTCGTTTGGGTGTGGAGGACAGCGGTCCAGCGTGCTTCTGGCCGTGCGTGGTTACCAGGAGGGGTCAAACTCCGGTAAAACAGGATACATGCACCTTCAGATACACACAGTCGTTTTGTTCCCCTGCACTTCGGATTTTTCTAAGGAATTTAACACCTTTTTTTGCCATTAAGTTTTGCCTTTTTCTTCAATTCTGATTCCTGGCTTGAGCCATGAGTTGACTTTTCTATTTCAGGGTGGAGGTGGTCTACAGTTGAGCCCAAACCATTAGTACCCATCACAGGAAGGTGGAGTACTTTGGGGGAACATAAATTATATCCCTCCCTTCTGTAACAGAGCCTCATCTTATGTTTCTGTCAACTTTGGCACAACCGAGAAATGTTTTAAGTGCTCACAAGTGTCAGGAGTTTGTTTTGCTACGTTATGTAAACAGAAACTTGTGGTCCTGCTGGGAATTGATTGCCCCTTTTGGCTGTTTCTCTTTAAACTTTTCAACACTATCTGGCTGTCTTCTGAAAATTTCTGGGTGCAACTTTGTGTGCAGTGATGCATGCAGAAATATGTGGAGAGATGACGTGTGTGCATGTTTAAATTAGGGCCAATGTTTAAGAGGTATTAAAAATAACTAACATTTCAACACCTCCTGACAATTTTGGAAGGAGCCCAATCGAGATCTGATAAAATTTTAATAAGCAAGCTGGATAATATTCTATCTGCTCTGTGGCACACACTCCACTCTAAGAGAAGTCCTATTCTCAAAGCATTCATTATATAAACAAAAAATAGAGCAAGGTGGAAAATACAGAGACACCCTTGGAAATTCATGCCAATCATTTTTATCTCCCTTTATGTCACCAGATATCTTTACCAAAATGTCTCAAGAAAAATACTGCGTACAGGTGATTTCAGAATGGTGATAATGATTCCCCTGTGACCCTGCTGCTGAGCCTTATAGAAATCACTGGTTTACAGACGCATTCATCTTCTTGTTTCTTGAACCAATGTTTATTCCATGCCCTCATCTCATGCTTGAGAAAAAGTGAAAAAGCTTGCTGTAGGGATTCCAACGCCAAGCACTCTGACCTTCCTGCTTTCCGGACTAGCGGCCGCGACCTTCTTTCTCCTCCCCGGATATGGTCCCCACACGTGCTTTGACACCTGTTGCACCCAGGGATATTAAAACTTTGAGGATATCCAAATAAACAAACAACAAACAAACCAAATTTGAGACCCAGGTTCTATACCGTAGGAAGTCACCTAGTGACGCGTTGCTTACGCTTTCTTCATGTTTACACATAGCAAGAAATTACACTGTGTAGTCGATAATGCCCGTTGGCAGTGCTTGATGTACGTGCCAGTCGCTGACATCAGCCATGTGAAATAGGACGTTTCTCATAGGAAGACACAGTTCAGAGAAGTGACGTGCCCCCAGTTATACAGTTGTGTGAAGTCAACACTAGAACTGAGCGCTCTAGGGCCAAATTCCTTGATCAGACAACACACTATAGCATTCTGGGGCCCAGTGCTTGGGAAGGGCTGTCACCTTTTCCTGCATAGATATATACTGTATTTACTTTTTTCATTGATAGTGTTGAAATGCTTAAAATGACATCTCAGAATAGCTTTGCCATGTCTTGTGTTATGATAAAAGTTAATCTGATCAGTTCCAAAGAATAGTACTCACAAATTGGATTTTTGATAAACATATCCTTTCCTTGGATTTCATCACTCTTTTACGTGATGATTTTTATTATTAAGGAGAATAGCCAAACCATGTAATTCATTTTAAAAGTGAGCATTTTCTGAATGATAGGAATAGGGGAGCTAGATGAAAACCATTTCCACGGACATCTGTAAGTCACCAAATATTTTATAAATGCACACAGTTGTGACTTATTTTTACGTTCTTAAATATCCTGTGAGCAAGAAGTGCAAAGACCACTCCTGGATGAAGGACACATATACAATTCTTGGCCCATTGTTCTTGATTTTTTTGCATGGGGGGTAGGGTGTGGGAGTGTCGGGTTTGGGTGTTAGAGATTCTGCTATGATGGCAGGGATGCTAATACCTGCTAGTCGTAGACAGTAGGTGTTGAATTGCCACCTGGTGTTCCCGAGAGTCCAAGCTGTTTAACATCTTCACCGTTGGACTGAGTTTTAACAGTTCTGCCCAGGCAGCCTTTCTCACTGTATGTGTTCCTCTCACCGGTTTAGCAGAGTTTTAAAAATAAAGGAATGATCCAGGGGGGGAGGTAATAGGCATCTGTAAAAGATAAGGATAATTTTTTTTAAGTGATTGAGTGAAGTCCTGGGAAAAAAGGAAGTAATGTTTATGAGCGATGATTAAGAAATGGAGTAAATGGCATTTAAAAAAATAGAAACATCTTATTCTATAAACAACAACAAAATAAGCAAACTTTAGAAAAAAGAATAAAAACAAAATGAAAAAAAGAAAAAATTGGAGCATAGACCCCCCCCCAAATTAGGGCTCGCCATGAGTTCATAATTAGCAACCGAGGAAAAGGAAAAACAAATAAATGCAATGTGGGATCCTGGACAGGACTCTGGAGCAACAACAAAAGAAAGATATTAGTTGGAAGATTAATGAAATCCAAGT